CTATATATCTTCAAGGATAAGAGACCCATGAAGATCCGGGTTAGAATTGGTCCTCAGCAACCCATGCTTGTCGTAACAGGCGACTAACGGGATCGGGTGGTCAGGCTCGCTGTCTTGGTTGACACATGTCATCGTATCCCAATTGCGTAGATCGATGTTCATGATGTTGATCACTGGATCAATAATAATGAAGTTATCATCCATAAAGCACCATACCATCATCATACATTCTTGAAAAAGCATGCCCCTACTTTTGAAATCATTCAAGAAAAATGAAGAATCGTATTATTAGATTATTAAACCTGCAGCGTAAGAGCCGACTAACGGGATTGAGTGATCAGGCTCGGGGATTTGGTGGACACATGTCATCGTATTGTGTAGATCGATGCTCATGCTTTTGATCACTTGATTGTCTATCCCAGACTCGATTATTAGCTGGAATATTGCAAACCAACAAACCAACCACAGCACCTTCCATTCTTCATAGTGCAAAGGCTTGATAAGCTGACATACAGTGAAAAGGTTTCTAATCAGTTTTGACCATTCTGATTATCACAATTACGAAATAAAACAGTCACACACACAAAGAGTTCATCTACAAATACCTTCTGAGAAAGGCACTTTTTATATTTCATCCTTTCACCTTCCTCTACCCCAGCACACACAACATTCGCATGCGAAAGCGAGGTTCTTTGAAGTCAGGAGAAGAATTGTACGATGAAATATAGGAAAGTTGTTAAAATTTTCGTCACGTTTTCATACCGTCCCTGTGCATATTCGCTATTGATTCTATGTTGGTTTCTGAAGGATGAGGATTCACAGATCAGTGCTGCTGAATGGTTTAATGTCTCCTGTTCCCATGGCCACATCTGGAATGGAAATACCAATATTTCGCCCACACTGCACAAGTAACAAACTTAAGGTTCGAGTCAGCTTCAAACAAGTCAATGTCACTTATGTATGCTATGTTAAATTGATCTCACAAAACATGATCTTTTTGCTTATAGAAAGCCTTTGAAAAGCAATGACGGAGATTTTATTGTAAAGATTGAAATAGAGTTTCAAGTCTTTTCATATGTACTCATGGAAACGAATAAAGGAACGAATGAAAGTACAAGTGTTCCTTTATTCATTCCCAGAATTTCACTCGCAGTGCAATATATACCTTGTGAAGAAACCCGGAAAAGAATAAAGTAACACTTGTACTTTGATGTGTTCCCTTATTCGTTTCCATGAGTGTATGTTGACACCAGCTTTGCATTTTGAGAAAGGCTCTGGACCACGGGGTCGATTTTAGACAAGACATTAATAACGGCTACCGATGGTGTCCCAGCAAACTGTGTCTCCTGTGCATAATTATTTCTTGAGAAAATAGTATGTGACTATTTCCAGAGATATTTATAAGTAACCTTGTTATACGCCCGTTCCGAGTTCATTACAACACTAAAAGCCTGTTATTCCACGTACTGGTTTTGGATCGTTTAATGAGATTTCTGTTAATTCATCCTTACAAATTACATTTTTCGAAGCCGATGTGAATGCAAAAAAAGTCACAAAGAGTTTTTTGGACCTGTTTCTTGGTTAATTAATAAATCATTTGAGAGAAAGCGTGGGACGATGTTGCTATTATCTAACGTTCTAAACCAGAAGCGAAAGCCTATTGGAAAAGCTTGGCAAATTTGATCATCACAGGCCATGACACTTGCTTCAAACTGGCTCAATATATCAACCTTCTTTACGACAATAGCACCCTCTTCGTGGCAGCCTCGAGTTACGCTATCGTCTTTAAGTCGGCTAATGATGTCTCAGTGTGCTGAGCAAACTGAGACGGATCTGGATGTTGATTGGACTAAAGGAGATGATCCCGGCATGTAATATAACTGTATTATTGCTAACTGTTCATCTTCATTATTGTGAAGATCCGATGCTGCTGATGATGGGACGTGTTGCACTGTGAGTTGTCACTGTATCTAAATTAATATTGAAATGGCTATGCTTTTTGAAACATGACTATATTTGTATATTTTTAATGCCGCATTCAGCAGTATTCAAGCTATAAGACGGCGTCTGTAAAAATAGAGTTTGGAGCAGACTATCCAGTGAATAACATCATGAGCATCGTCTCGGATTGGGATACGATGACATGCATCAAGTGAGCGAGCCTGACCACCCGATCTCGTTAGTCGTCCCTTAAGACAAGCATTGGTTGCTGTTAAAGAGAAACTCCTCCTGGATCTTCAAGGTCAGATGTATGTGTTTTATAAGGGTATCAGCTGATTAACGTTAAAGGTGATGATTTAGATGACTGAGAAGAGTTTTGAGTCCCATCGTTTGATATGGTAGGGATAAAAGACGGAACTTTTGCTCTCCGGACGAACGTTCTGTCCACTTGACCATTGATGCGGTCCCGGCGAAGCTAAGAACTGTACACATGGACGTAGGTTTCTAGCACGCCTCTTGCAATCATGAATTAATACCCATGTCTAATTTTAATCATTTAAACACAATTACAAACCCAGTGAAACAGGTGCGTTTTCAGTGTAACATTGAAATAGTTGGGTTCAATTGACTTCGGTTTAAACAGTAGTTCAGTCAAACCACCGGTGTCAATCAAATGTGTCAGAAAATGGCTATGTGACAGAGATCTCGAATATCTCGGTGTAGCACCTTACCTCAGATGAAGTTCCGTATGATTGTGGGTGTGCGCCACTGTCAGAAGTCGGTCTCCACTTGTCACGATACGGGCAGAACAACCAGCCTCTGTGCACATCCAGTAACCCGTGTCCCACTACTGTCGGTTCAGGCGAAACTTGTTTCCAGCAAAATAAAGTATTCACCGTATCTTAAGCCTTGGCGGTACCCACCTACTCCTGGAAAATTAGCTCTCCCGGGACATCCGAAATATATATTTTAGCCTTTCCGGCACGACATCTGTAGCACCAAGGAATCAGGGGTCTTGGTTATGACACCTACCTTATCGGATCCTGGCATGGTCTTCGGAAATTTATTCATTTACCGTCTCAAGCAATCATATCCGGACCATCGGAAAATACGCCATCTACTGTCTGAATGTTCTACATCTTGCCCTTGTTCGTTCCCTCATTCTTTCCTGAATAGACTATTGTAATAGCTTGCTTTTAAACAGCCCCAAGAGCTCTTAAACCGTCTTCAACGCATAGAAAATATTGCTGCACGTATTGTCAGCAAAGCACCAAAGTTCTCAAGCATGACCCCTATTCTAAAACAGTTACACTGGTTGCCCATAAGAGCTAGGGTGAACTTTAAAGTTTTAACCCTTGTCTACCAGTGCATACTAGGCACTGCTCCGGCCTATCTCAAAGAATTGTTCAAACCGTATCTTCCATGCAGACAGCTTCGCGCCAGTGACAAAACCGTACTTCACATTCAAAAATGGAAGTTGAAATCCTATGGTTTTCGCTCATTTCCAGAGGCGGCCGCGATGAACTGGAATGAGTTACCAGCTCGCCTTAGAACAAGCCCAACAGTCACATGTTTTAAAGCAAATCTAAAGACATACCTTTTCTCTACGTTTTACAAGTGACTCCAAAATTCTATCTTGTCTGCGCTATGAGCATGCTGTCGGTGTGGATTTAGTGCAATATAAATGGACCAAGTTTGTGCTGACTCGGCTATAAGGGCTCTCATATCAACTGTAACGATGAACAGTATATATCACCTTCTGTCACAAAGGACAACTCAAAAGAAGCTAAGGAACACCTTTGCATATCCTTCACGTGCGTATGTGTGTTTATGTGCTTGCGTGCATGCGTGCGTGCGTGCGCGCGTGTGTGTGTGCGTGTGTGTGTGTGCGTGTGTGTGTGTGCACGATTATAGAACACACAAAAAGGACGGCTGACACTTTACTAGTTACTGTTTACGTATTACATCTTTCATATCTTTAAATACTTCTTGAGGGGCGGTGGGGTAGCCTAATGGTTAAAGCGTTGGTTCGTCACGCCGAAGACCCGGGTTCGAATCCCCACATGGGTACAATGTGTGAAGCCCATTTCTGGTGTCCCCCGCCGTGATGTTGCTGGAATATTGCTAAAAGCGGCGTAAAACCAAACTCAGTCAGTCAGTCAGTTAAATACTTCTTGACCTTAGTTTACGTTCAGGAAGCGATGGCCAGATCAAAAAGGCGCACAGAATGAAACCATGGGTTCCTATGATTCATTTATCGTGATTTCAAATTCAACACGCAGCTCGTCCTAACTTCAACACTGATACTAGGGCACTCAATCACAGTTTAACCAGTAATTTAAATTACGTCAACTTTAAGTCAAAGTTGATATTTCTTCTTTGACATTACTGGTATTTATTGATCTTTGATGACGGGAAATGTCAAACAATCAGATTAACTTCTACTTGGCAGCGTATCAGAAATGTTTCAGATCGATATAAAATGTGTAATGTTATATTGGAGATAACATATTTCCTCTCTTGTCGATGTATCTGGAAGATGAAGTGGAAGGCTGTTGTAACTGATGAATGGTGGGGAAAAACAGATGTCTGGGGGATTACCTAAATCAGACACAAGAACTAGCTGACAATGCTTGACATTCATTGGAAGATGATCTCCATCAAGCCTGTTTCAGTAAAAGCCTACGTATTCTATAGCGTCTCATTTATCCAGCGAAACTCATTCCATTGGGCGCATAATAGTGCTGAATATCCTATGAATTGATCACGTATATCCGTGTTTACAGTAAACGTTTATTTCACTTTTAATGTGATTAATTTTATTTTATTCCAGCACAAAGACATTCTGCCTACACATTTGAATCTTTCACAAAATCAACTATATTTTTATGCAGATATCTCTTTTGCAATTTGTTTGGGAGTACCAAAAAGAGGATCTCAATGCTTTTTTTTCCAATTTATATTTCTGATAACTAGCCATCTTCTATAGTAATGGAAAACTATTTTTCATGAATTACTTTTTAAGATCCAATATCTATAGTGGTTCCTTTATTTTTCAGTGCTCTTTTCTCATTAATTGGCATCGCTGCGTCCATACGCTGGGCAACGTCCTCCTCACACATTCCGCAACTCAACGACGTCCCAAACAGCGGATGTAGTTCTTCATCCACTGACGGTTGCCCATGGCAACACGTGATATCAGACTTAGCCAATCGTCTGCAGTTACTCGAGATGGCATTCAAAGAACAAGTGGTTGCCAGGGAAACAATAGTTAAAGAAGTCAGTAACCAGTCCGATGTGAATTCTTCGCTGGAAAAAAAATTAACATTATTTCTTCAGCGATTGTCACAACTGGATTCTCATATACACAGATTGGAGACCAGACTTGAGGAGCTGACAAACAGACTGCATTCTGATGGTAGGCAAGTTTAATGTCTTGGTTGTCATAGCAAAAGACTCAGTTAACTTTGACTTGAAATGGTAGCCCTATCGTTAAATTTATTTATAGCGAACCCTGACCCGTTAATCGTTGTATAACACTTTTTTTTGTCTGTCTGGACACAACTCTGACTTTTAGAACATTGCTTCTCGTTGGTTTTATTGCTGACGTTTAGATTTAATCGTTGACATAACAACCAATGATATCAAATCTCCAAATGTCATTGTTCTTGGCGGTTACCACGAACGCATTCATATTGTAGAGAAACATTTAACACATTTTGATGAAAATCAGATTGTTGTAACTGAAGAACAAGAAAAGGTTTTGAAAACAATTAACGGTAAAAAGACATGAATGGACCAATAACTATCAGTGATGACTAAAAGTTACGCAATACATACCGAATACATCAAGACAGATTTAAAGGGAATGGGGTAGAGGGTTACATTTTCGTCTGAGTACTTTTATTGTCAGCAAATTCAAACTTTATGTTGGCCACTTGTAATCAATCGATCCAAGACCTCGACGTTCTTTGACCCAAATCAACCACATTTCTGATGTGCCATCTCCGAATGATGTTTTATGTGTATCTCTAGACAACATGCAAGTTGCTCTACGTATGATGTTGTTTACCACACATGTATCTCTCGTACAACATGCATGTTGCTCTACGAATGACGTTGTTATCCACACGTTTCTCTCATACAACACAATGATGTTGTGATTCAAACATCTATCTCACGTACAACAGGCATGGTGTACTACGAATGATGTTGTGGATTCACACACATCTATCTCACGTACAACAGGCATGTTGCTCTACGAATGATGTTGTGATTCACACATCTATCTCACGTACAACAGGCATGTTGCTCTACGAATGACGTTGTAATCCACACATGTATCTCTCATACAACAGGCATGTTGCTCTACGAATGACGTTGTAATCCACACATGTATCTCTCATACAACGGTCATGTTGCTCTACGAAAGACGTTTTAATCCACGCAAGTATCTCTCATACAAAACATATGTTGCTCTACGAATGACGTTGTAATCAACACAAGTATCTCTCATACAACAGACATGTTACTCTACGAATGACGTTGTAATCAACACAAGTATCTCTCGTACAAAAGACATGTTGCTCTACGAATGACGTTGTAATCAACACAAGTATCTCTCATACAACAGACATGTTGCTCTACGAATGACGATGTAATCCACACAAGTATCTCTCATACAACAGACATGTTGCTCTACGAATGACGTTGTAATCCACACAAGTATCTCTCGTACAAAAGACATGTTGCTCTACGAATGACGTTGTAATCAACACAAGTATCTCTCATACAACAGACATGTTGCTCTACGAATGACGTTGTAATCCACACAAGTATCTCTCATACAACAGACATGTTGTTCTACGAATGACGTGGTAATCCACACAAGTATCCTCTCTCATACAACAGACATGTTGCTCTACGAATGACGTTGTAATCCACACAAGTATCTCTCGTACAACAGACATGTTGCTCTACGAAAGACGTTGTAATCCACACAAGTATCTCTCATACAACAGACATGTTGATCTACGAATGACATTGTAATCAACACATGTATCTCTCATACAAAAGACATGTTGCTCTACGAATGACGTGGTAATCCACACAAGTATCTCTCATACAACAGACACGTTGCTTTACGAATAACGTTGTATACCACACGTGCATCTGTCATACAACGGTCATGTTGCTCTACGAATGACGTTGTAATCCACACATGTATCTCTCATTCAACATTATTTTACACTGAACTCAAACTAGGTTTAATATATACTACCCATCAAAAGTTTAGACTCACCTAAAGCACTCACTATATGTCATGTATAAATACATGGTTACATCGAAGATGAATTTCCCCACTAATACTTCGGGGAACCAACAGCACCTCATTCAGATTAATTGTACGAGGATCATGCATCAAATTGCTAAAAAGCATGTGCAAATATCGTTCATGTGAACAGCTACGTTTTGGTGTAAAGCTTTGTTAAGAATTCGCCAATTTTCACTGATTTTCATCATTTACTTAACTCATGACAATAATCTTTTCCAAGATACGAATTTGTTTTACAATACATTAGTTCATCTGTAAACAGTACCTTCAAACTGAATGGAATATTTTGCAAAATCAAGTTTAGAACAGTTGACTGAAGTAAGTGGCTACATTTACACTAGTGAGTCTAAATTTTTGATGGGTAGTATAGTTGTGATAATCTAGTCGTTATACTGTCATTCGCTGACAGCTAAGTATAAATATATGTATTCTCAGTACATGACTCTTTGTCGTCACGATATGGCTGAAATATTGCTGATGCGACGTAAAAGTTTAACTCACTGAAACAACAGACATGTTGCTCTACGAATGACGTCTTTAATGTTCATGACGTCACAGATCACATCTCTATCTGAACCGGTTGCATTTAGTGAAGTTTCTCTGTGGGTATTATCGTTTATACTTTTTTCTCTTTTAAAATGTCAATGTTTAATATTTTGATTACCCAACACGAAGTTGGAAATTTCGGATTATCTTTTAGTCGGAATGAATGCTGTAAATCCCTCACCAAAGGCAAGGATTAACGTCATTCATTGGTTAATTTCAGTCGGGCCAGATAATCCGTAATTCCCCGCAGCTCGATGGCTATGCTCGAAGACGTTCCCATAAATAAAACTCTAGACTTGCCCATATCCGATTTTACGTCGATCTATCAAATAACGTTTGTTCTGGGAATTATAGTAGGCTTTGACTGGAACAGTGATGCCTGCCAGCGTAGAGACCACATTGACACCCACAATGTTCTGTGAAGATGGCAGTAGATAGATAGCTTAAGTCATATGTCCTCACACTCAACCCACACATAACGGTACACCATTGGGTTTGCACTTCGGATGCTTCGTATGCTGAACAGTTTTTTTTATGCAAGAGAGCGAACACCGTTTTCACCACTTTTTGAAGCATTCCATCAACAAGTTAAACTGACGAAACCTTTTCCATGTCCATCAGTCGATTGTAAGATTGATAAGCAAGGGTTTATGAATCACTGTCAAATAATGCCACGAGGTGTTACAAAGGTACATGTAATAGTATTCTGCGTATTCCCATCCCTGGCTGTCCGTATGAACTCCTGCAAAAACATGAAACACTTATACTGACGGTACAATAATAATAATAATAATAATAATAACAATAATAATAATGCCCAGTGTCGGTCTTTTGTGGAGAAGCTTTCTGAGAAGCCATTGCATCGTGTGTACATGCAGTGTGTGGAACAGAATAGCAATCCCACCGACTCATTCGCCTGGATGAAATCGGCTGGTCTCAAATGTGAAACTGAGGGCTTCCTTTTTGCTGCTCAGGACAAGTCACTTCCCACTCGCAATCGGCTAAATGTGATTCTTAAAGGGAATATTAACATGAAATGTCGACTTTGCAATGAATTCACAGAGACTGCCCAACACCTTGTCAGTCGATGCCCTTCCTTGGCACAAACAGCATATCTTAAGAGACATGATAGCATGGCTCGTTGCTTTTACTACCGTCTCCGACATGCCTGTGGCTTTGACTCCGAGGTCCATCCATGGTACGACTTGAACATGTCCAGGGCGTCATGGAAAATTATGCTTTCAAACTTTTCTGGAATCGGTCCATATACAGTCTCAGAAGAATTCCTGCCAACAAACCTGGGCCCTTATTCTCGAAACGTTCGTAGCCCTAAGAATTCTTAACTTTGATCGTAGCCATGTGTTAAGAATGGGCTTACGAAGTTCGTAAAGGCTACGAACGTTTCGAGAATATGTAGCCTGATCTTTTGATAAAGCCAATGAATTTATATATACACCTGGAACTTAATTAAGCACCCTATTTTCTGGATGATGAGAAACAAAACTTGCTGTAACTCTCTCACTATTCCGAAGAATAGTGGAACCTTAGCTATTGTGAAACATACGATCTATTGGCGAATGAAAAACAAGACAATGATTCCAATACGTGTTGTTTTAATAGCGTAACCAATGTGATTTGGTCATATTGATTCTTGATGAAAATAGTCACTGAACAAGTATGGTCGTAGCATTGTCAATGGCTGACTATTACAAGAAATGATGCACAAGGAATGTCACATGTTAACTTTATCTGAAATGGGTCTGGCATCGGTATCGGTGTATCCCCACGTGCTTGGATGACAGCTTGAATCCTCCTCCTCTCATGCTACTGGTAAAACCTTCTTGAGTATGATTCTTCATAGCACAGCAGCTTCCAGCTATGCAAGATGCTGGAGAGGGTTCTCTCAACCTCTCACGGCGTCCAAGAAAGTCCCAGATGTGCTCCAAAGGATTCAAATCGAGGGCTCATGGCTGTCCAAAGGTAATGTCATGATAGCCTCATTCTGGAGATGTGCGGTCACAGCACGTGAACGATGCGGCCTGGCGTTGTCGTCGATGAATATCGGGTGTGTAGCCAACGGGTGGTTGTCAAAGTGGGGCCACGACAACTGGATGGAGAATATCCCGGATGTACCACAGCTGACCATCAAGATTTCCTCGGACAGGTCACCATTTGAGTTTACAGTCGTGTGAAAAGACAACCCAGATCATAACCGATCCTCCACCATAAGGAACAGTAGGGTGGATATTCCTGGGCACGTAAGCAGTGTTTTATGCCTCCACACTCTCATTCGACCATCTGTAACGTGGAGGAGGAACCTGCTCTCATCTGACCAGTGGACCCTCCTCCATAGTTCCTCAGGTTCCACTGGCGACAGGCCATACAACACTCCAGACGTCGTCTCTTATGGAGATCAGACAGAGCAGGACGTTTGATGACTCTTCTGGACCTCATACCAAGTGCCCTAAGGCGATTTCAGAACGGTTCTGGTCAATAATTGTCTGTAGGGTAACCACCGGAACTTCAAAACCGAACTTGTGGCAAAGGGTTCTCGCCGCCACCAGACGTGCCAGGCTGCGATCATCACACGGGACGTTGTCTTCCTGGGTTGTCCAGGCGGACGATCTCTCAGATCTGTCATCTGATGTTTTTCGGACAAGTCGGCTGATGACCGAGTGACCAGTTGTCGTCAATAGCTTTGAAGGACATGCCTGTTGCATGCATGCCGACAATTTGCCACCTTAGTGCTTGAGAAAAGTCTTCTCCTCATGTTTCAGTATTCATTAATGGAGACGGTTACAAATTTGTCTGCTTTTATACCCATAAATTGCATGTTAGAGAAACTGAATTTTGGGAAATGTGTGGGTTGTATGCTTCACGTGCACAAAGGGATGCGTTGTGACGAGTGCAAGGAGCTGAAACACCTTTTAGACTACTAGAGATGTGTTGTAATACAGAGATATCATTCATGTTTAACGATGGTTAACAGTTGCTTTACTATCATGAAATATATCAGGGGGTTCTTAATTAAGTTCCAGGTGTATATATCATTGAATTTTTCTGTCCCTTTTGACACCAATGTGATTGGCAAGATTCAGCGAAAGCATACTAAGTAAAGCGGACTACTCGCCTTTGAAATGTCTCGCTGGCATCCCAAGTACACCGATGTCAGAAGCTCCCATTGTTCTCGGTACCCATGCGCAGATCAGGAAGAATGCCAGGGTTCTCCACCAGGAGCACAGCCCTTCTGACACTCTGGGTAATGCAGAAGGCTGCAGTGTTGGGGAGTATGCATATTCTCCGGAAAGTTCTTGGTGGGTTCGACTAGGCAGTGTTTCCTGGGAGAAGTCCCATTCTCTGTCTGGGCTGCGTGTAGAGGGGGCAAGGACCCTGAGCTGATGATGAGCCTTACCAGCCTGACTGTGCCAGGATCACCCGAACCTCTCTGCTGCATATTATCTTTAATCTGTAAAATATATTAATAATAATAGTGGATTTGTATTGAGCTCTTTCCATACTTGGATATTATGCTCAAAGCGCAGTGAGGATTGATCAGCAGAAAGTTTGGCGGAACAGATAAGTTTTGATAGATGTTTCGAAGGAAGAACAGGTTTGACATTGGCGGACATCAAGGGGGAGATTGTTTCAGGCAGTGGCTGTAGCATATGCGAACGATTTCTTCCCATAACTGGACTGACTGACTGACTGAGTTTAGTTTTACGCCGCTTTTAGCAATATTCCAGCAATATCACGTCGGGGGACACCAGAAATGGGCTTAACACATTGTGCCCATGTGGGGAATCGAACCCGGGTCTTCGGCGTGACGAGCCAACGCTTTAACCACTAGGCTACCCCACCGCCGGGGAGAGACATGAACTTCGGGTTGTTTTCCAGGATATACCTAACTGAACATGACAAAAAACACAACACAGGATACGCAACTACGACAGCAGTAAAATATATTGTGCCCATGTGGGGAATCGAGCCGGGTCTTCGGCGTGACGAGTAACGCTTTAACCACTAGGGCTAAACCCCCAACTGGAGAGTTTCACTTTGGAACAGTTAACAAGATGTTTGGATTCAGACCGAAGGGTTCTGCTGGAGACAGTTACAATGGGAAGTAAGTCGCAGAGGTACTAGGGGCTGTTTGAGAGTAGCATTGGAATGCCAGACAAAGGAGCTTAAAAAGTCAAAGTGTGGATTAATACTTTATATCATCCTTGTCGCAGATTCATAAAATCTGGAAATTTCAACCCCATGTTAATTATAAAATATTTTACTGAAAATGCTTTAAACAACGCTTTACTGAGGCCTTGAATGTTGTAACTTGGATCGAAACAAAGTTTTAATCATCATAGAAAGCGCTTGATGTGTTTTACCTCAAATTAAAGCCACCAAAACCTGGAGCTGCATGTATATTGCTCGATATCCTTCTTGTCATACAGTCTAGTGAGAGTTTTGATGTCTATGAGCCATTATGCATTTATATGAAACCGATGATCAGTCTCGCTGGTCTATATATATTTCAGGGGCAAATCAATGGAAGGGAATTGACTGTTCGATGGCTATTGGATGATATCACATAATCGATATATTTGAAGCTTAAGTGCATGTTCCTGGTCAAATTACCTTCCTTAACTTTGGACCGAGAGCGGAAGGTCGCGGGTTCGATCCCCCCGACCGCGTCATACCAAAAAAGACGTTAAAATATGGTACTTGTTGGTCCCTGCCTGGCGCTCGGCATTAATGGGTACAACAAGGACTGGTCACACGGCTCGGAGTCAGTATAATGTGTCTAAGTGGGGTATTCATGGCTTCACTGCGGCATGGTATCTCAGTGGGCTAGCACTATAAAACCAGCTTAAGTCTGGGCTAGTAGAAGCAGCCGCACATGCACATACACACGTATGCACGTCGTCATATGAGCGAAATCTTCTCAAGCACGACGTTAAAGCCAATTTAACATCACCTCACCTCCTTCACATCCTTGACTTTGCCAATCCCAGCAGGAATTCGGACTTAACAAAATTAGCATACAGTCAAACAACGTTGTGCCGAACTTATTAAGTAAAAGCTTGTCTCGAAATATAACCTTGTCTCGAAGTGAAAGCTTCTCCTGCGTATGCCACATCCAGTCATCATTTTGCGGTTGTGTCGGAATATCGGATAACTCGAAGTATTTGCATACTTCCTTCAACTCCGACACGACGTTGTTTCGCCGTAAAATTGGTTCATATGGAGCTGTATACTTTTTACCTAAATTCCATGCCCCAGGAGACATCAGACGTCTTCACATATAGAACCCTGGTATTCGGCGTGATGACTAGTAAATGCTTTATCCACTGGGCTATGTATACCCCTCCGTCCTTTTTCCACAGTTAAATGGGTGCAGTGTGTGAACATAAAATGGTTTACAAGTTTACTTGTCCGTGGATATGTCTGACTTTGACCCAAGTTTCTTCTTGGCCTTTCAAGTCGCTGGGATTCTTAGTCATAGTGATGATAATAGTAGAAGTGATGCTGCGACTTCATCCAGAGGTTCAGAAGCTGAATCCATTCGAAGATTTTCAGAGATGGGACAAACTGCACTCAGAAAGTAGAAAAGAGACTTCGTCTGTTTCCAAGGTAACTTTGTGACCATTTCATTGAAATAATAGTTATCATTCATGCACCTCATCTTGCCCTATCTCACTCTCACTTTGCATGTTGGTGCACAAGTCTTTTCATGGCTTTCATCTTTTTGCTTTGTTTTGTTTTTACCGACATCAAAACGGAAATGCAAGAAAAGTCAGAAGCAATATCTTTTGCAGCTAAATAGTAAAACATGATTTATCTTTATGGTGTAGCCATCGCATAGCCCCTATAATTCAGGTTTCCCAATATCCCTTTTGGTTTCTTCAGAGACGAAAGAAAAATTATTATGTGCCGCTCAACATATACGCTCATAAGCTCACTATCTTCACGATCCAGCATGACTGCACACAAACTCATTTGAAACAATTTTGGTTGTAAAAATTCCCACAGCTATCATAATCGGTTCCGCAGCATATATTTAAGATGAATTGAACTTCATCAACATGAAGATGGTTTTGAAATGATAAGCTCTGGCTTATATGTTGCCAGAGGATGTAGCTGAGCCGCCCCTTCTCTGTTTGCAGATGTCAGTTGTATGTGTACAAGAATGTTGAAGTGGACACCGGTCAACCCTATCTTTGAAAAACGTTTTCCTTCAGCGTGCTAAGTACAGGAAATCGTCCCTTCAAATCTACCAGCGCCTCAACCAATGGCGATCACCTACTAGGCACCGTGTTGCTGTAGGTTCTTTACAATACATCTTCGTTCGGTCAAGGGCTGTATGGTCCACTTATTGTCCTCGAGAGTTAATTTCGCGAGTCGAGACAAACTGGTGCTTAAAGCCTTTGCTCGTCAGAGTGGATAATATATGGAGATTCGAATTTGCTTTGGTTTTATTCGTTAATTTTCGTATGAGCATTATATTTGTTTAACTGCCGAAGATGGACAGTTTTAAAGTTATTGATATCTTGTAGCATGCACCAAGGATATAGCCCGCTTCCTGTGATGATTTTGTTTTCCTCTGCTCTTCTGTTACATCTCTTCCATCGTAGTTGTGTTGAGCATTCTTTTCCAAAAATGGTAGATAGACTACCATAACAATCTGTAGTCCTTCACTTAATTTTACATGTAATGCAACAGTAAATATTTCTATTCATATTATAAGATTTATACATTATTAACTCATTAACTGACAATATGAATGATATAGTGAAAATAGTTTAGGCCCTGATATCTCATTATATATAGCGGCTAAGAGGGGCAAGGACACATATTATCAATTATATTCATTCATTCATTCATTACATTCGTGATTCATTCATTCATTCATTCATTCATTCATTCATTCATTCATTCATTCATTCATTCATTCATTCATTCATTCATTCATCCCGTGATGATCCCCGTTAGAATTGGTCCTCAGCAACCATTATCCTTGCCGTAAGAGGCGACTAACAGGATCGTGGAGGTCAGGCTCATGACTTGGTTATTGCGACCTTGTTGTCTTCGTATCCAAATTCCGTAGATTGGTGGATCATGCTGTTGATAACGCTGGATTGTCCTGGTCCAGACCTCGATTATTTACAGACCATCGCCATATAGCTGGAATATTGCTGAGTGCGGCGTAAAACAACAAACAAAGAGAACAAACATTCATCACCATCGTCATATTATGTTATTACTATTATTTTAGAAAATTTACTTTTTGTTTTCCTCACTCGTATTCATCTTTCCAGAACAGGTCAACTTTTCGCCCAAACACGGAGGGCTATCCCTGAAGAACGAGCTGTGTGTGGTGTTGTTCAAACGTGAAAACAACAACATCGTTGCGACTCTGATAGAAGACCATCCTGAAACAGCTGGATGACGTGAAGCTGTCCGTCAAGCCTCACTACATGATAGGGTCGGAACACCTCAAGTCCATTCCCAGAGTCAAAGCTGTTTCTGGTGTGTCCGAGATGGAGGACAAGGGTGTCAGAGCTTCCTCCGGACACAGGACGACCTGCATACATCTGCTGTTCGTTTCATGAAATCTCTGGGAGGTACGTTGAGGTTCAATTACGAAAGATGTAGGATGAGGTTCCATATTTGGTCGACGTGAAATGTCAAGTGCGTAGAGAATTCTTGAAAAGATCAGCATGAAAAAAGTATCAAAAGTTTGTTGAAAACTAACCTCTGTATTTCATTTATTTGCATGTTTAGTCAAGACAGAATGTGGACAATATCTCACCTTTGTTCAATCAGTATGCAGTATGAGAAGGAACTAACCGAAAATGAATTTTATTTATATATCTTAAAACAGATGGCATAAAAGATTGGCTCCTGTTTTAGTAGCAGAACATGTTTTCGGGGAACATCCATAATCAGGCTTCTTTGACAGTCGTACCTGTACAATTGAATTCTCATTCAGACACCCAGTTGGTACCTTTCACAACTAATCTTTTGCAGCGCAAGTTGGGATGCAGGATTTCTCATCATGCCTAATCCTTCGTATCTCAATGAAGATACCGCTGTGATGATGTAGGGATGCATGAGACCTTCCTCCGAGTACCTCTGTGCTTTAGCTAATTATAATATGTAGAGCGGTGGGTGGGCAAAGTTCATCACACCGAATTCCTGTGTTCGATTCGCCACATGGGCACAATGTGTTAATTCTATTCCATGTGTCCAACGCTGTGATATCCAAAACCTGTGACGTACCAAATTGAAGGATTTTACTGACGCCTTGTGTTCCGCTTAGATGGAAAATATGTTTGAGTCTATTTCAGAACTGCTTCATCGGTTGCCGCTAATTATAGGTATGTGCTAGATGAAGTGGAGTGATGCAAAAATTAAATAAAATAAAAATAAACATTTGTTGTTTCAGCTCAAAATAATTCTCATAATGGCAAACGACGAAGGTTCCAAAAAGTTGACAGCGCACAACATGTACAACACCAGTTTACGTCTCGTCCAATCACACGAAGTGTTACAAGAGTTGGCGTCCACCGGAAGAGTGTTCAGCATTTGGCGCGAGCTGACGTCACATCAACTAAGTCATCTCAGGAAAATCATGCGTTCAGTATTAAATATAAAGACAAGCATACGGTGAGAGGAAACTGCCGACCGGGTGTGCTCATATTCTGAACTGCATATCGAAGTCGTGGATGGAGGAGGTCTCTGGGATACCTTACGCAGACTGGAGAGAAAGGATTGTGCATTCTGTGTCGCCGGAAGTCAAGATGTATGTCCACTGCGACAGTTTCCTATAGACGTTGGGCTGTTCTGCAGTAACGTTAGACTGCAACGGTTTGTCGATCCCCGGAATTATGATGTTCAGCTGTCCGTATATTTTTTCTGTTTCCCATTACTGACCTGACCTGAATTTTCATTCCGACGTGAAATAATTTCAAAATTCTTATCTCAATTTTCCAAACTTCTGTTATATTTTTATTAAAATTTTGTTTCGGGCAAAGCGACTCCATCTACATCATAAATCAATTTTATAAACCAAGTGATTCAAATTTTAAAAGTAAGCATCATGAGTTACACAATTACTGAAAATGTATTTATTTATTTATTTATTTTTTATTTATTTATTTGGTTGTGTGTTTAATTTTTTAATTTATTCTTTTTTATCCGCCTGCTGTCTTGTTGGTTTAGGTTTGAGATGAGAAACACAGAAAATAATACGGATAGCCTTATAGCTGGGCGTTCAGTCCAGATGAAAATAGATTTAACTACATTTCATGTCCATTGGAGCGTTATTGTTAGGTGCTATTGAACACAAAGCTGCATAAGAAAATTGGTCATTTTTGTAGTAGGTGCCGTGGTAATACAATGTGTGAAATCAGTAAGACACATTCCTGTGTCCCTTGCCACAAAGCGATTGACGAGTTGTGTCTGTCGTACCGTGAATTCAAGCCCAGGATTTAATAATAACAATTACCCCTTTGGTAATCAAATTATTTAACCATACTTAAATTCGGGAATTGCACACAATGAATGGGAAAAGCTAGTCTATCGTACAGACCCTGAAATAAATGTACCCAGTGTAGGCCATGCAAGTCTAGACTATGTGGCAAGTCTAGATATTCACAGTTTCAGGAAAATGAAGAAAGTCTTTGGGCTCCTACTATTTTATTTTAATTTAAAAACATTTTTTCTGTAAAATATGCCCATTTCAGAGACTGGCTGTTAGTCATGGAAAAAGCAGGGACACAATGACAATGACATACCTTAATTCCACTCTATTTCGACGGAGGAAAATGTCGCATTTTCAAACTTTTCCAATTTGATAATCTGGTGTCCCCAGCCGTGATATTGCTGGAGAATTGCTGAAAGCGGCGTAAAAATAAACTTACTCACTCACTCCAATTTGAAAGATACCGAGTGTGAGTCGTACGCATTTAAGACGTCAATTACCGTGTCAAAAATCTTACCTATCTCTAGAGTCCAGTGAGTCCTCTACACGTGGAATCCCCTGATTGCAAGATTGACGTTGTAAACACCGACGTCCGCCATATTCTTTCACCAAGGGACATCACTCTCAACAATATAATAATATTAAAAATACTAATATAGGCCCATGGGACTAAAAACGGTACAAAATCCCGAATTCAGACACAGGGACGGAATTGAAGATGAAATTAAATGCAGGCAATTCTGGTTATTTAGTGTTGTGAACGAATGCTGTAAGATGGTGTTAAATACTTGGATATAAAGTCGTCTTCTGTCGAGGTCGCCTTGTGGTAAGGGACACCTGAACCATTCGGTCAGCGTATATTTCTATCTACATCATATCATAATTCATCCTAAACGCTCAAGGTATATATTGTGGTAACAATGATAGTTTTACATTACATGCAATATGTGCATAATGCAATCATTTTCTTGATTCATTTTTATGTTAATTACAGGTCAGCATTGTTTGCAACTGTTTTGTTGGAACAGTTCCAGAAAACGAAGAAATTCAGTGTGCGGTTGTTATTAGTTCACCTATTATCAAATGTTTAGTTTTATATAGTTCTCATCATCAATATAATGACATTTGGAAATGCTTCATTATGTATTTGTGAGGTTATGATACTTTATCAACAATGCATTCTAATATGACTCCTACCAGTCCCAAATAACATAATCGGATCCCCGATGTTTAAGAACTGTATAAACGCTTTGAATACGCTTACAGCTTTGCCGGCGGACGGTCTGCCGTAGGTCACATGTCATTGAGACAAGCAACCGGTTTGTGAGAACCGTCGGACGCGAACCCGCGACCTTCGGATTAATTAGCTCGACAGCTAGCCGACAGGCCGTCGCACTGTGGTATTTTAATACCGGTATGAATAAAATTCCCGGCGATGCGGAAATGGGCGGAAAGAGTCGAATAGGTCGCGGACAATTACGAATATATACCGGTGAACTTGGTGTCGTGATTTTGCATTAAACTGGAACGGTAAAGATGGATCTGATGCCATTTGGCTTTTACTCTGTGATCATTCCGTAATCCTGGAATTAACGTGTGGCGTGGAATGACGATATGCCTCAAACTGAAAAGGGTTGTTGGTACGTCGGAGCGTCAGACATGGAGTTCACGGTGCATGCATGAATGACGCGCTTTTATATAAAATCCGGTGATTTTGTGACAGAAAAGTGATGAGAACACTGTAAGGATAATGTGGATCCTTGCAGGAACAGGGAAACGAGCATGTTAAATTGGCAACTTTTGATTGAGTTAGCCTTCGAATCATTACTGAACGAAAATTTTATGTTTGCGTGTGAAATAGCAGGCTTGAGTGCAATTCAGGCCAATTCCGTGGCGAAACAAACGGCTTACATTTCATAATGGCCAACAAGGCAGAAAGTTGCGTCCCTTAGGTGACATAGGCTTCTTATCTTACATCCGGGTTCACCCCGATGTATTTTTGGGGGTTTAGAAGAATCAGATGCCTGTTCTCTTAGGGGTTTCATCAAGAGGGGTACAAATCCATGACATGCCTGTGTCACAGGTTTTCCTCGCACATCGACCTGACAACTCTTCTAGAATAGTGTTCAAAAGGGCCTAATACCAAATATCCATTCACTCCCTCATACATGATGCAATCGACAACATAATTTAATATAAACTTGCTTTTCTTGGAAATATTCATTTACATTTGAGTTGATTGTCTCGCGATGCAAACGACAAAAGCATGAATATAAAACCTGGCAGGTCGTCCTCTAACTGAAATATCATTCCCGTTCTCTTGGGTTTCAACAAGACGTTACTAGTCCATAACATGCCTGTATCACTTCAGGTTTTCCTCCCACATACACCTAGCAGGTCGTCCTCTAACTGAAATATCATTCCCGTTCTCTTGGGTTTCAACAAGACGTTTCTATTCCCTAACATGCCTGTATCATTTCAGGTTTTCCTCCCACATACACCTGGCAGGTCGTCCTCTAACTGCAACACTGTTCAGAGGGGCGTAATACCAAATGCACCCACTCCTGATGCAATCAACAAAAACATGAATATTAAGGTGTTATTCTTAGAAAATTGACAACTGGTACCGAGCCGAAGGAATAAATGTTAAAAATACTTCTACCATGACTTCAGGAAATACTGGATTGTGATTGGTTAATTAAAGTCATTCAGAGGTATATAATCACGTTATATACCTCTGATTTTCCAACACAGTATGTTTATCTCCTAATTTGATCATTTACACATGGGCTGACCGTCTCATCATGCAACTTATAACAAAAAGTATTTGAAAGTAGTGCTCTTTGAAAATTCAGAACTGTGGTAATACATGTTAAAATAGTTTTGTTCATTTACATATGAGTTGACTGTCTCATGATGCAATCGATAAAACAAATGAATATATAAGTGTTATTCTTAGAAAAGTCATAACGACCTACACGATTTAATAAATGTTTAAGATATTTTGAAAATTCAGAACTGATCCGGAACCGAGGTAATACATGTTAAAATAGTTTTGTTCATTTACATATGAGTTGACGTTCTCATGATGCAATCGATAAAACAAATGAATATATAAGTGTTATTCTTAGAAAAGTCATAACAACCGACACGATTTAATAAATGTTTAAAATAATTTGTTGATTTACATTTGAGTTGACTGTCTCATGGCCTGCGTGTACTATTGGGAGATGCATCATGATGCATACAAACCAGATTATCTGATGATGTATTTATCTACATACGAATATATTTGTACTATAACATGAAGACAACGCTATATTTGCCTATGTCACACCTTGTACAAACTACCGTATACATGCTCAATGTGTTCCTTTTGTGCCAGTTCATTTTACAGTGGCTGTTTTGTTATGTAATATAAGTGGTTGTTGATTTATTATGGTATATAAAGCTTGGTAATTCAGTAAACTTGATCATTGAGCAAATCTTCTGTGTTGTTCTTATTGGCAAGCGGAGAAGAAACGGGATCTCACAATAATACCGTAAGAGACATGAGTGGAATGAGTTTAGTTTTACGCAGCTTTGGAAATATTCTCTAGCAATATCACGGTGGGGACACCAGAATGGACTTCACACATTGTACCTATGTGGGGAATCGAACTCGGCCGTCGGCGTGTGACGAGCGAACGCTTTAACTTACTGTGGGTAACCCTACCGCTGGGGAGAGACATATGAACCCCAATCCAAACCAAATCACGACAGCAGTAAATATAAGACTTTTACAAAATACATGTACATTGAATCAAATTATCAAATAGCATAATGTACCATACACAATATATTTCAACCACATTTTATTGAGTATCATGCGGTGGATACTTACTACTGATTTAGGTGTACAATATTTTTATAACGTTCTTCGAATATCGTTATATTTTTTCAATAAATATGAACATTTTTAAGTTCATATTAATTTCCTTTATCAGTTTTGGCCAAACCAATAATTGGCTAAATCAGGGTTGGTGCATCTCTGCAAATGACAGGAGTCATCAGATGGTAAGGCTCTGCTGGTTGGTGCATGTCATCGTGTCCAAGTTGCGTAGGTCGATGCCCATGATATCAATCACAGGATTATCTGGTACAGAATTGATTATTTAAAGTCCGCCGTTACCATACGCGCGTTCGCT